ACCAACAGGCATCATGACTACAGATGCAGGTTATACAAGACATGAGGCAAATTCTATCCCCATCCTGTCAAGTCTTCTAGACTCCCTACAATCTCCCCAAGTCCCCAACCAATCGGCTTAGGTTTTCGGTTTGGTTTCCATCGCAGGGAGGTGGAGGCAGCTATGTGCTGATTCTTGGCGCCACCTTGTGGTCACACTTAGATATTGCACATTCCACCCAATTCCACAAATAGAAGGGAAATGACATTTACACAACCCTGTCCTGGCTTCAAATCCCAGCTCTAGGGGCGCCTGGGTGGCTCAGTCAGTTAAGCGTCTGCCTTCAGCTCAGGTCATGATCCCAGGGTCCTGGAATCAAGCCCTGCATCGGGCTCCCTGCTCGGTGAGCCTGCTTCTCCCTCTCCCTCTGCTGCTCCCCCTGCTTGTGCTCTTTTTTTCAAATAAATAAATAAAATCTTAAAAAAAAAAAAATCCCAGCTCTACCTCTTAACAGTGAGATCATAGGCAAGTTGATTAACTTGAACAGGGCATGATCAAATGTTTGAACACCTTACTATAATTATAATAACTGAAAGATATGTATACATAGGATCAAAGCCTGGAATGAAATGTAGACAAATAACGTGAAAAATAGAGATGTAGGTAGTTTTTTTTATCTTAACGTTATCATAAATTCACTATTGAAAAAAAACAAAAAAAAACAAAAAGAAATCACCAAAAGTGCAAGGTGGGGAGTGTGGAAAGCCTTCAAACCATTGGCAGGTAGCAACTCAAATCGGTTTCAGGCTGTGATCTCAGCAGCTTGGCCCCCGAGTACCTGATTATTTGAGGAAACTCAGGCACCACCTACTCAAGAGTCTGTTTCTGAACTCTACTGTGTTTCACTCACTGAGGTGGGAGTGGAATGCAGGAGGGGGTTTTTTGCAGCAGCAATACCAAGCGGACTCTGGGCTAGAGTAGAGAAAAAAAAGCATTTGATTTTCAAACCCCAACATCCTTACCCACAGTTCTTTCCAATCGCCTCCAGGGTTTCCTAAGTGGGAACATAGTAAGGGCCTGCAATAATGAGGGATGCCACCACCCTTGCCTCAGAATCAGCTGGAGCTCAGTCAAAGCACTCACGCAGTGCCCAGCTCCTCCCACCCCTGACCTGCTGCCTCAGACACTCCAGGCTGAGTCCTGAAGATGCTTTCCAGGTGATTCTGAAGCATATGCTCTGATAAGAAGCAGATGATCTATTACGTACAGCATGTAGCTGAATGACCTAACCTCAAAGTTCCTTTTCAAGCCCGACCCTATATAAACACACTTGTGCAGGGTATATATAAGAGGATTTTAGAGAAACAAATACAAACTGAATCTGCCAAAAGCCATAAGCGCAAAAGGAAAAACAGTATATAAAATCTATTTATACACATCAAGTAGTTCCCAAACTTGACAGTGCATCAGAACCACCTAGAAGAGCTTTTAAAAATTACTGCTTGGTAGCCCCACACTGGACTTCTTGAATCAGCACCTCCAATGGTAGGGCTCCCAGGTGATTCTGCAGAATCAGCCCATAGGCTAGGAACCTCTGCTTTACTCTATGCTCACTGCCAAGGAAATACAGCCCGTCAGGTTAGCAACTAAAACAGTAACATCTGGCAAACAGAAATAGAAGAGCTTCAGGGTATGGGTTTAAGTCAAAGTCTTAACACTAGCCCTAGTTGTGCCAGGAGGAGACGACACTTATTTTGAAGTGCATCCTCTCACTCAGGATGTAACCTGACCTACAGCCCAAGCCTGGCCCAAGCAGTGCCAACCGCTGCCGGAGGAGGCCAGGGTTGGTGACATTTTTTGTTTGTGCTGTATCTCAAGGTTGGCAAACACCTGGCATGAATGCTGCTGCTTCCCCGAGGCCCCCGTGCCCATGGTAGACATCACTAACGGACTGCAGCACTCCTTCCCAGACAGTCCACACCGGGCCTCGGTCTCCCCCTGAACAGACGGCCACTGCCCAAGAGTTGTCCGGCAAGGCAAGGGCCTGTGCCCTGCCTGTCCTACAGCTGATGGCTTAGAAACCAGGCATCTCTGCACACCACAGCCACTACACCACTATCCAAGGCAACCCAAATGAGAAATGATGTGCCTCCAAAGCAAAGCAAGGATTTTCCTTCTCAATAACTTGCACCCTAAGGTCTATTTCAACATATCTGAATTACTCAACAGACAAGGCCCCATGCCCGGATGAATCTCCTCCACAAAGTCTTCCCCAAATATCTGTCTGAATTCATTATTCCCTTCACACTGGTTAGGGCCTATTGGTGCCCATGTCCCCTAAAAGACTGCAAATTCCTTGCCGGAAACCCTAGTCCTGGCCCTGGAGCACACACATGCATTCATGCAGTGAGAGCAAAGATGTAGCAATGCGAGCTGCCTCCTATCTCATGTGGAAATCAATCAGAAACACTGAGGTAACAAGGACTGCTGATCTTTGATCACTTTGAGGGGAAAGGTGCACATATGAAACGTGTGGTCTTCTGGGCCACCCTGACCTGTCCTGGCTGTACATACTGGATGAGATAAGTGACACGTAAGTGTTCACCAGGGACACCTATTGCTCAAACACAGAACATGTGTCATTCCTAAGAAGTCTTTGACTCCTGGAGCTCCCAGACCCTAGCTTTCTAAAGCAGCAATGTATTTTAAGGAAAGCTGAACCTCACAACTAAAAGCAATACCCTAATAGAAACTCTGCTGCTACAAAATGAAAATTAAAAAATAATGGATGTTTTCTAGGATCTGCATACTAAGGACATGAGTAAGAACTGACAGAATATGTACTTCTACAAACTGGCTCACCCATCCTGGTACATTATCAGAGGTATGAAAATCAAGGAACACCACTGAGGAGATAGCCTCCAAATGCAACTTAGTACAGAGACAGAAGCAGGATACAAATGTGGGAAAGGCAAAAAAACATATGGGCACTTTAAAAAACGGGTAACACTTCCAAGACTGATCTGAGGTCTTGGGCTAAGTCAGAGAAAGTAGGATCCTAAATGCTATTATCCTGTTCCAGAAAAGGTTAAGCTATAGAAAAGGCTTGACAGGAAATTCCCACACTTGGCAACAGCTAAAAACAAAGATACATAGTTGGGACTAAGCTAGAGCTAAGGAAAGACCTCTGATGCTCCAGCTGAGAGAATAAAGGAATTGAGATCTCTAGGAGTGACTCACTTTCACTTCTGAGTCTAAATGAGCATTATAATTCACAGGGCTATAACCAATACAAGTTCAATAAAAGGCGCCTGGCCTAGGTACATATTCCTAAGCTCTAACCATAGAGAAAAAGTCATTTTCTATGTTGCAAACTCTATGGGGCTTTATTCTGATCATCTATCATCAAACCACTGCTAAGATAAGGGAACCTAAAGTCTTTTTTTTTGGTTCACTCAAGGGAATACCATCACAATTTCAATCTGTATTCAAAGATCAGCAACAAGAAGAAAGAAAATTAAAAAAAGCAACTGGCAGTTCTAAAATGTTCTTAATAATGCTTCTCAGTCCTGAGCCTTTTCTTTTACCATCCCCCAATCCAAAGAGTACCAAAGGAGATGGAATACAAACATTTCAATGTGTTATCTGCAGTTTAACAGCCTTAATAACTGTGGCCATAAAATTTTAAGAGCTATAGCATTTTGGTGGCAATTAGAGTTATTGATATTTCTGAAATTCATTTGAGATTTTACTGTAACTTCAGCAAAAAACTGGCTTTGATATGGCTTTAGAAATAACTATTCTACAGTCTTGAGATTATTAAGAAAAAAGTGTTGCCATGAATTTAAAATAAGCCCGTATTTAAAATTCAATCAAAATAAACTGCTTCTGATCAAGATACTAATACATTTAAAATAAATTTAATATTGAATGAGAAGAAAATATTGTTCCATTTACAATCAGTATGTTGAGATTAACACTTTTTTAATTCTCTACAGTTAGTTAAGAAATAGACTGACACTGCTCAGGGTTCAAGAGTATCCCGCTGATATCCCTCAAACAGCTCTACTGATACTAATTGTGCAAAATAAAGTTAAAGTTGCAATGAGAAGTAACAAATGTAAGCCACTCCTCAACTATGCTACAAGAGGTCAAGAACTGGGTTTAGGTCACAGGTCCTCAAACTCTGTGTGAAAAGAACTATGCCACATCTGCTTTTAGGGAATTATGTGACAGTCTGGATGTGGGGCATCAGTTCTAAATAACAGAAGGAAAAAATATCAGGACAATCTGAATTCACGAAGGTCAGTGGAAAGCTACAAGAAACACAATAAATGAGGTCTCCCTACATAGAAAACAAGAAAAAACTGTTGAGGACTGGGAAAAAGCCATCCCGGGAGCAAATACTTAAAAACTAATCTGTTAAACAGATTCCCTTTCCCTTGGACTTTCTTAGTGCTGCGTGAGCTCATGTGGGAGGCCAGAGATGCGGCAGGGTCGTGCTCGGTCGGCACACTGGGTACCTGCAGCATCCAGTTTCGCAGGGCTTACAAAAAAATATGTGGCAACCAACTTCCCGAAGGAACACGATCACCTTCCCTTTCATCTTATTTGCATCATCTACTGAGAGAGTCATGGCAAGAAAAGCCAAAGTCAGTGCCCGGCATCAAAACTGAGAGTGAAAAGGAAGGGTTGGCAGTGCGTGTGAACTGCCTTTCCCGCAGCAGGACAGGAGTTAGTAACTCCGCAGGGGGCCGCCTTCTCAAGACAAGGAAGGTGGAATTTAGAAAACAAGCTTATTCTTGGGCGCCTGGGTGGCTCAGTTGGTTAAGCCACTGCCTTCGGCTCAGGTCATGATCCTGGAGTCCCGGGATCGAGTCCCGCATCGGGCTCCCTGCTCGGCGGGGAGTCTGCTTCTCCCTCTGACCCTCCCCCCTCTCATGTGCTTTCTCTCTCTCATTCTCTCTCTCTCAAATAAATAAATAAAATCTTTAAAAAAAAAGAAAACAAGCTTATTCTTTCATACACTAGAGCTTAAATTTCAGCTCCTTTTTGGAGGAACGTCCTGGACAATTACTTTCCTGCTTCAAAAGAAAAAACCAACCACGCAGCATACACCACACAGGCCAGCCTGTTCCTTTTCCTGCCCCTGGCTACAGGTGGCCTGAGTATAAAGGCATACGGCTCCGCCTTCGGTCCTCCACAGGCCTCTTGCCCCAGCCGTTCCCCTAAGCTTTTCTTCTGAGACTTGCCCCAAATCTGAATGAAGATACAGAAGTTAGAAGCATTGGGGATTAGCTCCACTGGGGCCCTGCTGGTCCAAGGAGGCTAAGGCTAAAGGAAGTCCAACCTTTGGATAAACGGGGGTCTAATACATTAAGCTGAATCTAGAACTCTTATTTAATAAACCTGTGGCCTAAGAGAAAGCAAGCAGCACAATCTGTTTACAATCTGCAGACTGACCTTAACCGCTGCTTATAATAATCTTCATCTCCATCATCTCGGCATCTCACTACTTTCCGACCTCCTCCTCCACAGGCGGCTTCTGCTTCCTCCCCAGAACTTGGAAAAAAGTCATCCTCGATCTCCTGCACCGTGACTTTTCTCTGCCGTTTTCGGGGCGTGAGCCCGGGCTTCAGGTCATAGTCCGTGCCCTCTCCCAGCAGCTCGGCACCCCCCGCCCCCTCCAGCTCCTCCTCCGTGGGTAAGTACTCGGACTCGTCATCCTCTGAGTCGCCCTCCGCCTTCGGCCTCATGTCAGACTCCAAAGGTTTCTTTCCTTTTGGCAAGCCCACTTTCCCCTGGAAATGAAGAGCCCTTTTCTGGAGCTTCTTGATGTGTTTTTTCAAGCGCTTATCTGTTTTTGAGAGAACTTTGCTTTGCTCATTTGGTTTGTTTTCAGGGAGTGTTGCGCTCAGTTCCGAAGTGACTGAGGCTGCGGTTTTTCTAGCTGCTCTTTTATTACAAGCTTGCTTCTTCCTTTCAAAAGACAATTTTGCTTGATCTGCCAAATACTTTTCAAAGCCTGATGCTTCATTGAGCATTAGCTTTCTAGGCTTTTTCTCCTGTTTCTGAGGGATCTGGGTTCCAAAAGGTGTCATCTGGCCCGTGCGGATGAGCTCTTCCCAAGCCGTCTCCTGGACAGGCATGAGCATGCTGCCGAGACAGGACGGCCCCGGTTCTGAAAGAGGGATGACAATGTAGTGGGCACTAGCGTAAACCTTTCCAAGAGTACAACACAAATAGTCACTTCTTCAACAAACAGCACCTACGATTAACTCACATTTTAAAAACATACCATGGATGGGGGTGCCTGGGTGGCTCAGTCTTTTGGGTCTTCAACTCTTGGTTTCGGCTCAGGTCATGATTTCAGGGTTGTGAGACTGAGCCCCATGGCAGGCCCCACGCTCAGTGCAGAGTCTGCTTAAGATTCTTTCCCCCTCCCTCTCCCTCCCCCTCTGCTCCGCTCCCCACTCGCACATGCTAAGAAAGATAAATTAAAATTTTTTAAAAATTAAAACATATCATGGATGTACTAAAGCATATTGTATATAAAGAAGAGAATGAATTTATTATAGCATTCATCATGCCAAATTCAATATACTCCTACTCAAAAAGGTGAATTTTCAATAACTTTTTCTAAAATAATGCAGCCAAAGACAGACCTACTCATATGTAACATACAGACAAATGTGTCTATTTCCTTATCAAAGAATAGCCCCCAAGGAAGCAATCTCCCAAGTTTCCATGTCACTTCAAATACCAGCATCCACACGGACTTAAAATTCAAGAGACAGTAAAACTGCAAATGTATAAAGAATCAACATGTACCTAAATAGGTAAAACTTAAATGTTTGCTCTGCACTGCCCAATATAATAGTCATCATGTGGCTATTTAAATTTAAGTTGAAAATTCAGTTCCTCAGATGCACCTGCCATATTTCAAGTGCTCAATGAGCCGTGTGGGGCTAAGGACGACCACAACAGACAACAGAGACAGCATTTCCATCACCGCAAACAGGTCTACTGGACAGCACTGTGTTAGATGTGCAAACAGAACAGAGCACATAAACTGGAAGTTCGGTCATAATAATATAAAGTCACCCAGAAATCTCTGAACTTAATCTCTGGCAACATTACTCGAGGAATCCATATTCTAAAATCTACATTTCTTATAGTCCAGTAATGCCACAGCCAGTTTTTCACTGAACTTGCGGTGAAGAAAAATACATATCAGAAAGTGCACAAATACTAAGTGTACAGCTCAGTGTATTTTCAGAAAAAAACATACCTGTACACCAACATCCAGAACAAGAAACAGAAATTACTAGCACCGCCAGATGCACCCTCCATGGCACCTTCCAGTCTCTACCCCACCCCAAAATAATGACTGACCACACTATTAACACTACAAACAAGCTGTCCCTGGCTTTGAGCTTTATGTAAATGGAAATGTTTGTACACTTGTGTCAGCTTATTTTGCTCAACATTATGCTTGAGATTCATCCTTATTGTTGAATATAGTTGCAGTTGTTAATTTTCATTGCTGTTAGTATTCTATCATATAGCTACGCTATAATTTTTCCATTCCACTGTTAATGGACATCTGGGTAGTTTCCAGGTTTTAGCTACTATGAATTATGTTGCTATGAATATTCTAGCACACATCCTTCAGTAATACGTTTCTACATAATTCTTTGGGTATGTTAAGCTTTAGGAGACACTGCCAAACAGTTTTTCAAAATGGTCCTATTAATTTTAAGTTCCACCAACAGTGTTTGAGAGTTTCAACTGGTCTACATTCTTACCATTTTAGTTATTCTGGTACGTGTGTAATGGTACCACTTTGTGGTTGTAATTTGTATTTCCCTACGAACTAATGAACGAGGGCACCTCTTCATAGATTTATTGACCTTCTGAATAGCGTCTTTTGAAGAAAATGTTCAAGTCTTTAGCCCTTTCCCAAGAGTTCTTTAATACACTCTGGATTCCTGCCCTTCAATTAATACATGTGTTGCAAATATCTTCTCCCACTCTGCAGCTTGCCTTTTCACTCTCTTAATGCTATCTTTTGAACAGAAGTTTAGTTGTGATATAGCTCACTTATCAAACCTTTTCCTTTACAAGTGAGCATTTTTGTGTCTCATTAAGTCTTTGCCCTAAGATCATGAAAATACTTTCCTATGCTATATTCTAAAAGCTTTGTTTTACCACTCACATTTATATTTAAAATCTATTTGTCATTTATTTTTGTACATGGTGTAATGGGCCAAGATTCATTTTACCTTCGTGTGAATTAACCAAGCACCACTTACTGAAAAGATGATACTTCTTCACAGCACTGCACTGCCGTATCTGTCATAAACCAAGTGACCACGTATGGGTGGGTCTGTTCGCTGGACCCTACATTCTGTCCCATTCGTCTGTTTGTTTTTCCTTGTGCCCATACCTCACTGTCTTAATTACTATAGCTTGATAACACATCTTGTTATTTTGTTCTTCTTCAAGATTAACTTTTCTTGGCCCAATACATTTTTATATCAATTTTAGAATCAGCTTGTTAATGCCCCCACCCTCACCCTATACTTCCCACCCCAGACTTTCTCCTTCAAAAAAGAAAAACAAACAACCTACTAAAGCGGTCAGAGGGCCAAAAGGAAAACCAGGAGAGACTGGGATCCTGGAAGGCACAGAAGTATCAGCTGCTACAGACAGGCCAAGTGGAGCAAGGACGAAAAGGGGCTTCTGGAATTGGGGAAGTAACTATTAATCCTGGGCAAAGTTTTACCAATGAAGCAAGAGGAGGTAAAACGCAGTAGCAGGTTTTAGGCAGCCAGACAGGAACAAGAAACACGGTACCTCAGCAGTGAAAGTCTTGGTCGCAGGCCAAACGAATTCTAAGAGACTGAAATTTAGAAGTCCATCTCTCTAATATTTTTTTCTATTGCCTCAATTAATTCTTCATAACAATTCTCCTGTATTACTGAATAAACTTCAGGAGCTAGTAGAAAATATTTGCTTGGAAAGCTTAAATGCTAAGAAGCCTTAGTCTATATTTCAAGTATTAAATGACTGAGCAGCTACCAACAATTTCTAAACACGCACCTACATATACACACACAGAGACTACAAAGGTATTTCGTTTCAGAGCTTACGCATTTTTTCAAAACATTTTCCAAAAGACACCCATCCTGGGCAGTAATAAAAACAAAATCAGAGCCACAGTATAACCTGAATGAAGATAGCTTTTCTTAAACAGAAGTGATGCTTGGAAAACCTGCCAAATACATCCCAAAAACATATGTAAAAGCAATTCTATGAATGCTGACTGATGATGCTGGGCTTAAAAACGTAATTTGATCAAGATGTTAGCTGTCTCTACAAAATTAACTACACAAGAATGTTAAGCTCTCTAATTTATTAAACATAATACCAAATGTGCACCAGCAGCCTCTAGTAGATGGAGTTAAGCATTTACTTTCATTCTCCAAAAACCCCCATATAACTTAAGATATTTGGTTCTGCAGGTATAGAGAGTAAAATTTTCCTAAATCTGTTTTAACAGTAAGGCAAAGAAAGGGATTTTTCTTGAAACCCAGGCCAGGACTGAGGAGATACTCTCCACCACTACAGGCGTCAGGCACCAATTCAAGAACAAAGAGACACTGCTCCCAGTATCCTCACCTATATCCTCCTCCTCCAGACTGGCATGATCTAGTTCAACTTGTACCTCTGCTCCTCCAAGGATGGCCTGGAGACGTTTTTGTTTTGCTGTGATCTTCTTTAGCTGTTGTTCCTTGAGTGGTAAATATTGAATACAGAAAACAACAATGAAGTGAGTGTTTTATTGTTCAATACAAAAGATAAATTTAAAAACTTTAATCAAGAGCAAAATAAAACAGAAATCCCATATGTTGCTATTATTATAGAGCACCTTATTTGAGCAACTGCCACTTTTCTAGCAGGATGTAGGCCTAAAAGCATTTCCATCAGGCAGGCATCCCTGTCCCCACCCACTCTCCTGTCTGGGCGGCCCAGCTTTCTATGTGCCTGAGCACTTAATTTCACATGTACTGACTCTCCACATAGGTGGTAGAACTGCTCTACTTGGTTTTCCCCACTGCACACTGGGTAAATTATTAAACTTTGTTTCTGACCTTAGCAAACGACAGGCTATGAGGTCAATGGCTGTAAGGATAATAAACAAACACAAACGTTCAAACACTTGAAAAAGCCTCCTCTGCTCATCTACCATATTTACAATTGTCCTTTATAGTCTTTTAGAGCATTCTACCCAATTACTAGACTTTAAAAGCATTTGGACCCTACATTCCCAGGCTCAGAGGACCCTTTTACCCTACCCACCCCAGACCCCTCTTTGTCTTATCTCCCTCTACATCACGAGAGTTCAGCTATGCACCCATTCCCAGGGCATCTCCAATTAACTAGGCCTATGGTACCTGGTTCTTCTTCCAAGTTCAAGAATGTCTGAACACCAAATATGAGAGTGGGATGAGAAGAAATGCTGAGTATAATGCCATGTTATACTAAACTGGAATTCCTTTTCTTTCAGTTTTCCCTCATTTCATCTCATTTAAACAGCCTTTCTAAAACCTAAACACAGCCTTTCTCTCTGAATAGTCTATCTCCAACCATCAAAGGGCTGTTTTAGAAAGATAGGAATATACAATTGACTTAGACTAGTACGTAAAATGGCCCAAAGTCTGGTCCTCACTGCTCCTTGAAACTTCAGCCCACCAGAAGCCCAAGGTCAGAGGTCTCTGAACATTCATTCACATGCTCGCACAAGAGGCCAGATGTCCTCTCTCTGCTTTGGGGAGACCCCAGCTTCCTGAAGCCACTGCTAGCTCTAAGCTTTGGGCTGCTATTCTGGAGGTAGGGGACAGACGATGGGATGGTGAAGATAATGGACTGGTGTGTGGAAAGCAAAAGGAGGCACTGAGTCTATAGACATCACTAGTGAAGCTTAAATAAGAGATGCAAGGACTTTACTCACTGCAGAGGGTCAATTGCCAGCACAAGGATATCATTTTGGATGGCAGAAATAAAATGATCAAAACTAGTCATTCCTGCCTACTCTGATATATTTTCATAAAGCATAAAGCACAAATTCTAAAAAATGTTACAAACCTCAAAAAAACAGTGTCATAAGTAACAGATATTCCCTACCCTGAAGTTGTACAACCCTAAGTGCAGACCCATCAGTGTGTCCAGGTGATGACCATAATACCTAAGAACAGTGAGCATGAGTGTGTGAGGGGTGATGGCTATAGCAAAAGGAAACACAGTGTATATAATCAGGACAAGCAAGAGCCAAGCAAAAAAGAAAGTAAGTTCACACAACACACAGAGACTGAGGAGAGGCCGGCATGCCAAACAGGAGCCTAAGCTGGGTAAAAGAAAATGGCACAGCAAGGAAGACCATAATCGTAAATATCAATAAGGCAGCATGCAAAGCCAACAAGGGAACCTTTTCTCAAAAATATGTGTATGTGTGTACTTTAAAAGATATTCTTTAACAGAAGATATTAAAGGGAAATAGCTGAAATATTAAACATAAAAACAGGAACTCAAAATTTTCTATTATACCTATTTCCTTCACGTCTTAACTACTTTTCAGAATACTTCCCAAATATTAAATGAACAGAACTGATGACTTTTTCAAAAATGAAATACTTAATGTGTTATTTGGAATCACCTTATTATACTTCTGTCGTTTTACAGAATCTAGTTTCCTGTTGATGTCTCTGTTGGTAGCAGCTTGAGGGCTAAGTTGTTCAATAATTTTATTGATTTGCTGTAGGGATGTTGTACATGACCTGAAAAATAAAATAAAATGTCTATTTTCCACTCTGGTAACATTTTTTTAATAGTGTAATGTGAAAACAGAAATGCTACAAAGATGTTCTTTTACCTCTTATTAACTAAAAGATAAAAGAAACTAAACCAGAATGCATATTCTTGTTGGCCACATCTACAACTTGAAGGGTTATTAGAAGTTCAAGGTAACTGCTAGTGTTTTCTTTGATCTGGCTCATTGAAATCAGCACATTCCCATTTGTAAGCTGTTTCATTCACTCTACAAGCATTTTAAGTGTGTACTAGATTCAAGAGACTGTGCTAAAACAATGTGCAATAAATTGTCCTTTTAGATAAAAAAATACATACACATGGCTTCGTTTTTTTTTTTTAAGATTTTATTTTTTTAGAGCAGTTTTAGGTTCACAGTAAAACTGAGAGGAAGGTACAGAGACTCCCATATATCCTTCCCCAAACACATATACCCTCCACCATTATCAACAACCCATATATGGGTTTTTAAAGCTCATTTGGAAATCACCCAAAGTTTGGAAAAGTACTAAAAATGCTGACATTTTTTTTTTTATATAAGTCAGATATCTGCGACAATATTTTTCTTTCACAATACTGAAGACTTATTTGCTGTAGCATTATATTTTATAGTTTGAAGCGAAAAAAAAAAAATCTCTAATATAATGCTCCTAAAACAGACACCACAGAATGGTAACTCCCAATTTTCAAAAGACAAATTCAATCTTGACACTTGTATAATCTGCTCTTTGTATCCTTTGTGGATTTCAGGACAAAAGATGTTATCAATGCAAGTTACTGGCAGTCTAACCACATGTCACCAAGGATCTAGTGTTCATCTCCGTGGTAATTCTGCAGCACTCTGACGTCACCTATGCAAGCAGTAGGCACATTTCCAAGGTCAAATGTAAAAGTGTGCTCCTTATCAGGAGTTGAGCTCCTCACACCTGGAATACTACAAGTATTCCAGAATACCTGCTACTCAAGCAGCCAAAAGAACACACCAGGAAGCTGCTGGCAGAAAACATGTCCTTTAAGTTCCAACAGCCATCTGTACCACAGTCTCCTTGGCTGAGGGTAGCCAAAAGCTCCTCATTCTTCCCTCCTCTCCCCTCCCCTCCCCCAGCCACCCCCATCTGAGACTGCACCATTCCTCCACTCATTACTCTCCTCTTTCATGCTTGCCTGACACAGCCTAGAACACTGACCAAGACAGGGCAGGCTGGCAATAGGGAAGGAGTTCAATCTTCACCTGCCCCAGCCTTCTAGCCCAGGTCCAGAGCCTGCTTCTCTTCTAACACACAAATGAAGTTTCCACGGGACTTCATCTTTCCTGTAGAGTCACAAGTAGGACAGAAGGAAGGAAAAGCAAGGAGTTGCTTCACATTATTTTCAGAAATGCAAATCTGAAAAATCACCAAAACACTGACACTTGGTTTAGACACAGGAAACTGGAAAGAAACTATAGGACAAGAGAAAAATGTGAGGGGAGGGAGGGTGATATGCTCCTGTATCTCAAGTAGCACACGTCACACCTTTAGGTTCACTTCTCCTGAAAACCATTCTGAGCACATGCTTGTGAGTTCTAGGGTACTCAGAACACTATTTCTCTCTAGGACGTTATGCATAAACAGGTTGTTGTGAGCTGGCCTGAGACCCTGACTACGACATTCAGTGCTGCTCCTGAGGGAAAGGGCTGGGGTTCACACACAGGCTCAAGAACTGCCCTAATTGACTCCATCCTCCAAATAAGAGGTTCTATAAATCTCCTAGATTTCTGGAATACCACAGCTATTATCTGAATTTCTCCATCATATGTAAACACAAATTCTGCAATCAGAGAAGACGGTCTACACTCACGTGAGGTCATCCAGGACTGATCGATACTCCTTCTCCGCATCTGCAAGCTGGGCCGCACGGCTGGCCTCATGAATGGCGCTGTCCACTTGCCGAAGCACACCCTGTTCCAGCACGTCCTGGTCGTACACATCCACACCCAACCCCTGCAGTTCAAGGGCCTGCGCACTCGGCTCCACCGTCTGTATCTGATGTCTGTCGATGTGCAGCAGGGCCGGCCCTCTTCTCGGAACTTCCGATGAACACCCCTCAGCAGAAGTGGATGGTCCATTAACAGAGGAACAAGAGGGGAGGCTTTCCTCCACCTCTGCATTGTCATCATTCTCTTGCTTGCTTGTCATTTCTTGTCTATCACTGACATACTGACTTTGCAAACAGTCTTGTTCCTGAGTTTGACTTGAGTGGGGGATTCTCGCATTTTGCATCCTCTACAGACTATCTAAAAGGAAAAAAAATGTAATAAGCCTTTGGTTATAAAGAGTTGATATTTATATAGTTCCTTAAAATTTTTATAATTAAAGAAGATTGATTTCTCAAAAGATCAAGTAATCCTCCAATTAGATAAATTCGATGTTTCAAGTGTTACTTTTCTTAAAAGGGCACAAGCTATACATCTTCTTGAGTTCTGATAATAAATAAGAAAAATTAACCAAAAAAAACAAAAACAAAAACAAAAGACAAACAAGAAGAAAAAAGCACAGTATCAACAACAAAGGACATCTGGAGAGCCAGCTAAGAAAACTGGCAACCAAAATCTTGACTGACACCCTAAGAGTCTTCTCCAAATCAACTGAAGTCATTTGACTACTTTCCAAGTGAGCATCTTCAATGCATTATGGCACAAAAGATTCACAATACAGTGTGGCATGAGGAACTGTGATATACAAATTTTGTGAAGTAAGGAACAAGCTTCTCTACAAATCTGACCAGCAGAAACTGAGGTTGAACATTTACTCTAATAAACAAACTCTGAACAAGACACAGTATCACCACTAAAATCTGAATCTGAGAAAGATTAAGTACTCTCAAAAATAACCCCATTTCAATGTGCAATACAATTTCTCGCCAATCAGGCTGGCAAAAACAGGTTGGGCCTGATGATATCCAATACAGACAAGGAAGATCCACCCTCACACAATACTGGTGGCAATATAAATTACTAAAGCTTTTTTGAAAGGCAGTTTAGCAATATCTATCAAGATTTAAAATGCACGTGACCAAATATTTATTCCAGAGAAATACTCACATACATACGGGATGTTCACTGTAGCATGCCAATAGTTTAGTATAGGCATTAAGTATTTTCAGTGACACTGATATAAAAGTCTTGTAAACTGAAAAAATACCACAGAGTACGAACACATTTATGTTGGATAAAAAAATATACATCTGCACCTGTATGTCTGGAATGCATTCAAAGTGATCTGGAGATACACACTAAACCTGCAACCACTGGGGAGGAGGAAGCAGAAGGAATGGGGGGAATAATGAAAATAGTGAGTATGTGTTCACTATATTGCCTGTGTAACTCCAATAAATACATTAAAAAGCAATGCAATAACCTTGCTTTTTATTTAACTGAATAAACTAAGGTTTCTTTCACCACCACAACTTTATTTATATAAAAATACCAGAAGTTCTCCCAATAAGCCCCACTGATTTCTCATTAAATAAAACTTTGGTCCTGGCGACTAACACTAGGATACAAAGACGCCAGGAACTTTGCACTATCCATTCCAGAGCAGCTCATTCTCTAGGGGAGAAGAAACATGTCAATAACAACACAGCAGGGCAGGTCTGTAGAAGAGGCACCAACAAGAGGCCACCTGGAAACAGAGGAAGGGACAATGCTTTGGGTCTGGAGCTAAAGAAACATATACAAGCTAAGATCTCAACCCCTGGCCCAGGGTCTGATAACATAAAAGATACTCCATATATGCTGAAGGGAAGTAAGGTTCATAGAGAAGTCTAAAATAACAAATCTGATGTGGACAACTGAATCACTGGTGAATTCAGTCATAAAAATGAGAATCGCAGAAAGGAAGCAGATGGGAAGCAGAAGGAGGGGCCGGAGAAGAATAAGAATCTGGAATAAATGATGGGAAACAAACACTGGTGACAGGTGCGGAGGGCCCCCCAAAACCACGGATTGCCAACAATCCCCAAGGCTGCACAATTTCCTCCTTTGGTAATTAACAGCCCCAGGGGAAATGTCACTGTTGGGAGTTTTCAGGCAGAAGTACAGAAGGACAAAAGGGCATGGATACAAATGCTGAGAAGAGTAGTTCAAGTAACTGAACTTGGGGTCCAAGCTGGAGAGATTAAAAAAAAAAAAAACAAGCCAGAAGGGACTGGGATAGGAAGGGAGGGAAGGAGAGAGGGAGACATCAAGAAGCCACTTGGAGCATGACCGTGGACCAAAGGGCAAGTCTCCTGGGAATGAGTGTAGAAAACCAGGAGTTTCTCATCAGAAGCTAAACAGTTTCAGAAGTGAAATAAATCATCCATTCAACAAATACTTGATAGTCAATTATGCCAGACAGTGTACTAGGTTAACTAGTTTCTGTCACCATAGAGCTTAGAGTCTCTTGGGGAAGACATACATTTTAAGAATTACATACATACATATTTACACATTTAAATATGTATGTTCATGTATAAGTTATACCCACAAATGTAATTATGGTAACTGCTATAAAAGTACAGGATTCTTCAGGACAAAATAACAGAGGAACCTAATCGACAGTGCAAAGGTAGGTATGAGAAGGGAGACCTCTCTGATAAAGTGATACTTGAGCCAGTATCTGAAGGATGAAAAGGATTAATAAGGCCAAAACTGGAATGAACATTTTGCAAAGAAACGTGTAATTTCTAAGGCTGGTAAGAGCTGGGGCACTTGGGAAAATGAAAGAAGGACGGAACGCAGTGAGAATTTTTTACTTTATCCTACATGAACAACTGAGTTAAAGTTGCTGATAAAGACTCCATTCATTGTATAAATCTTACAGAATACCTTCTAACACTCTGCAAGGCGTAATCATCTGGAAAAACAGTATCTTTACTGTCCTCCCCTTTGAGCACTGGGGCTTCTCTGGGAGGAGCTGGATTCTGGTTTGCAGATTTGGCTGTAAACATGCCTAGCTGGGGAGGGAGTGGGGCATAAGTGAAGATGGAGGGGTAGTCAAGATCACAAAGGACCCAGGAAAACATGAACTTGGATTTTATTCCAATTACAATGGAATGATTTTTAAGAGTTTTAAACAGGGTGACGGTGGCATGACCTATTTCAAGTTCCTAAGAGACCACCTGGGCTACTATATGGACAACGGATTGGAGGAAACAGTACAACAAGGAAATGATGGGAGACACACGAGTGAAAAATGACTGCAGCTTGGAACAGGGTGAAGATGGATGCTACGTAGGAAATCAATGTTACAGCATTCGTATACGGACTGCTCAATCCTCCTTTACACACTCCCACTTGACAATAACAATGCCCAAAGCGCCTGACTTGTGTTTACCCCGATTCTCTCTTTCAAGTAACAAACAACTCCAGTTTTTTAATCGAAATCAAACAGGGCCGCGCTGATCCTGCGCTCTGGGGCCGACACAAAACCCAGAAGTAGAGGTTTCGTGGAGGGCTCTGTAGTGTGCCGCCCGCCGCCCCAGGTGAGAGCGCGCTGCTTCGTCACTTCCGGCCGCAGGTGCGCCGGCACAGAAGGCGCGCGCCCGACTCGAGGGCCAGCTACCGGCCAGCCCCGCCGATGGGCTTCCTCAAGGCGGCCAGATGCCCGAGGCGAGGCCATGGGCGCCTGGGAGTCCGAGCGGGGCCCAGACATCCCCTGCTCGACGTTCAGCCCGGCCGCCCAAACACTCACCCCAGGGCCGCGCGGCCACCCGTACGTAAACGTAGACTCCACCGCCGCCACCAGCCGTGGAACCCGAACACGGGGCCGGCCGCGGCGCATGCGTCTTTTGTCCGCCGTAAGCACCGCCCCCAAGCGTGACCCGACCACAGCGCATGCGCCAGGCTGCCCTGGAAAAGTGTGCGCGACCACGTGATTGGCGGGATGCGTGTAGCCCCGCCTTTCCAGCTACGATTTGTGTGAGTGTTTTAAGGGCTGGTGACCGGCTGTGCGGCTTCAGGCACGCGCTTCAGTCCTGGTCAAAAAATACCTCTTTAGTAAAGCGATCATAAGAATTAAAAGACGTGTTTCCAGAAAGAAAGAGAGAGAGGGAGAGAGAAGTACGTGTGTTCCGTGAACCCCAAAGAAAATAAGCTTGGGGAAGGGAGCCGGCTTGAATGTCACATTTCAATAGCCACGCGCGGTAGACGTTGTTGCTACCTCTTGGTCCTCTGGTACGGCTGTTGGCACGCAAAGAATAGGGAGAGGACTTATCTCTGTTGCCCCTCCATCTCCTACACACATATGTGGGTGGAGATGGTGTGTGTGTGTGTAGTGGGCCTACATGAATGTCTTGATGGCATTAGTGAGTCATTTACTATCTGTCTTCATATCAAAGAGGTAAGAAGGATTTTGAGCCAAATGAGAATTTTTGCTTGGAGCTTTTGAAGAAACAAAATATCAACACCTAGGTTCACAATGAAGGGAGGAAACTGAGGTTTACCTGAGGAAGGAGTAGCCCATGAGGGGTGTCAGCCTTACCAAACAAGGCAGCTTCCCAGCCCAGGGATTCCAGCCCTGTAAGAGGGTGGATTTTCCAGGGCCAAGGCCAGATAGTCCTCCTCCCAGAGGAGTAGCAGTGACCTCAGTGACTAAGGGAAGGATCTTTGTGGGATTTTTTTTTGGGGGGGGGGAGGGGGTTGGGTTTTTGTTTTTGTTTTTGTTTTTAGGAAAGGATCTTTTGTCCTGGGTAGGGAAGTGCCTTCCTCATTTTGAAGCCTGAAGTTGGACAATAGGAAAAGGGGGCTGGGAAGCTACTTGGTAATACTCAGTAATACTACCGTATCTCTCTTGTCAGCAGCACCAATCTACCTTTGCCTCAAGTCATCCCGCAAGTTACATAAAAATGTAACTTGTTTTTTTACAAAGGAATAAAGAATTCTAGTGATCTCCTGAATACAATAATTGAGAATAGAAAGGCATTGGTAAGGTATTAGTTTTAATGCTTGAATATGAAAGCTGTTTCTCCCTGAAATAGAGTGGTTCCCAACCATTTTGAGAATGAGGTCCCCCTTTTAATGTGCACTATTTTGGTGAGCCCCCGTGTATCAATCAGAATTTAGACAGGAAGCAGATGGTACACTCAAACTAGGTAGTTGAGAATTAATAACTTTTACAAAGGTGTGGACAGGATTAGGAAAACAACTCAGATGGCACAGTACCCCTGTGAAGGCAAAACTTTAGGAGCTATTCCCATATATTATGAGCTGGATTGCATCCCTCCAAATTCAATTGAAATCCTAACCCCCAGTACCTCAAATGTGACTGTATTTGGAGATAGGATCTCTGAAGACCCTAAGAACATTTTATTAAGTTAAAATGAAGTTATTGGGGTAGGCTCTAACCCAATATAACTGGTGTCCTTATAAGAAGAGGAGATTAGGGCATGGACATGCACAGAGGAAAGACCATGTGAAGACACAGGGACACAACAGCCATCTACAATTCAAGAAGAAAGGCCTCAGAAGAGACCAGCCCTGCCAATCCTTGATCTCAGACTTACAGCCTCCAGACTGTGAGAAAATAAATTTCTCTTTTTTAAGTCACCCAGTCTGTAGTACTACGTTATGGCAGCACTAACAAATGAATACACCATCCCTGGGCATGAAAGGGTAATGGGAAGACAAAGGTTCGGAAGAGAATAGTTGAATGGAAAAGACCAGTTGAAATGTACTAACCCATGGTCACTCAGTGGGAGGGAACTGGGAAAATAAATACCCTGAACTAACTGCCCTTTCATTATTTCATCTGCTGCTGCCTCCCATTGGTCAAAACCTACTGACTACCAGAGGGCAACGGAGGCTGTTGATTACATTCTGTATAGATCAGCCTCTTTGGGCACAGGGCAGAGTTGAGAGAGATGGAGAGTAGGTTTGGAGCTTCAGACTGGAAAGATGCATCATTACCCCCACACAATTGTAATTATCCTTTTAGTATCCCTTTAATTTAGAAAAGGCATAATGAAACAGTCACTATTAATTCAGTAAAGCTTTTTAGATGAATTTGTATTTAGTTAATTAAAGGAATATGTATTTTCTCTAAGCCAAGTTTCTCCTGACCTCTGTTGCCTGAGAATGGTAATAAGGTCACATTAGCAGCAACAGTTCAGATTTCGATGATTCCTGTGCCCACCTGAATACTCAGGATGTATGAATGGAATTTAGTGCCCTTATAAAAGAGGCCCCAGAGAGATCCTTCGCCCCTTCTGCTATGTGAGGACATAGCAAAAAGATGGCAGGAAATGAGCTCTCACCAGACACCGAATCTGTCGACATCTTGATCTCAGATTTCCCAGCCTCCAGAACTATGAGAAATAAATTTCTGTTACTTTTAAGCTGCCAGTTCTGTGGTAGTCTGTTAGCAGCCTGAATGGGTTAAGATAGAATATAAGAAGTGGTGGGGGTTTTAGTAACTTACTTATAATACTCATTTACAAACTTAGGTGTCTGAATGTCAACCAAAACCTCTCTCCTTCCCCCCTACATCCATTCAGTCCCCAAGTTCCATTGGTTCTGCCTCCCCCATAGCTTACACATCTATCCCATCTTCTCCATCCCCTCTGTTCAATTTTCTTGACCGTTGCAACCAGTATCCTAGCCCAGTCTTGCTCCCTACCCATGAACTTGGGTGGGGAATTCAGAGCCTTCTGATCATGTCTCTCCTCTGCCTGAGACCCACCCCTGCAAGATAAAATCCAAGCTATTTAACATGTTATCCAAGCCATTTTATTATCCTGCCCAATCTGATTTTTCTGCACTCTCTGGATGCCTCTGCTCAAGATTTAAGGAACTATTTACTATTCTATTTGTACTGTGCTGCAGTCAGCTTGGACTGGCTAGCAAGTCCATTGTGTGCACCTCTTTCCAACTGTCTTAGTTTGCTCAGGCTGCCATAACAAAATACCATGCACTTGGTGGCTTAAACAACAGATATTTATTTTCTCACTGTTCTAGAGGCTGGGAAGTCCAATTCAATTCTGGTGAGGACTCTCTTCTGGGCTCGCAGACAGCTACCTTCTCACTGTCCTCACATGGTGGAGAGAGAGTTCTGGTGTCTCTTCCTTTTCCTTCCCCCTCACTTTTTTTTTTTAAGATTTATTTATTTATTTGAGAGAGCACGAGGGGAGTGGGGATGAGGGTCAGAGGAAGAGGGGCAAGCAGACTCCCCACTGAGCAGGGAGCCCAATGTGGGGCTCGATCCCAGGACCCCAAGATCATGACCTGCGCCAAAGGCAAACAATTAACCGACTGGGCCACCCAGGCGCTCCTGTCTCTTCCTTTTCTTATAAGGGCACCTGCTCCATCAGATTAGGACCCACCCCACTCTTAAGACCTTATTTACCTTAAGTACCTCCTAAAGGCTGTATCTCTAAATACAGTCACATTAGGGGTTAGGGCTTCAACATATGAATCAGTGGCCTCACATTGGGAACTTAAAATTGGTCATGTGGGAGTATTTACACTACAGAGATAGACAAAATCTATGAACCAGGGTTTTTGGTAGGAGGGGGACCGTTTTATTTTTTCCCAGCATAACCCTAATTGTTATCATCAGGCCTATGTGATTTTGCACATGGGTCTCTCTGCCTGGAATTCTCTCACCCATTCCAAAGTTTCTTTTTCTGACACTTTCCCTGGCCCTCCAAACAGAGTTAGGCCTTCACAGCTCCTCTGCACCCTAAACTGATATTTTCAATATCTCTACTATGGCACTTACTACTTTGGATTTTAATGCGTTTTATGTAACAAGCAGTTTTATAGCCCTGACTGTGGGCCAGGTTTTGTCCTGAGTGCTTTACAAATATTAACTCATTTAAATATGACCAGAATTGTCACTGTGCCTTTAATTTCTGTTTAGTGTTCGGTGTAAGAAACTCTCCCTACCCCTACAAAACAGAACGACTAAGTTGACTCTCATTTTTCAAAACTTCAGGGTAGCAGCAATGCCCCAATTTGGCTCCCCACTCCCCATAAACATGGAAAAACTAATTAAAAAAAAAAAAAGAAATATACTAGAAGTGAATTGAACACTGAGCAAAACTGATAAAGCTAAAAATAGAGGCAAATGCATATTTAGAATTATGTTAGCAACCACTACAAAAAGTAATGTTAAAAATGTATTGAATAAATAAATAAGTAATTTTAAAAGCAATGACTATATAACAATGGTTATATGATTCCATTGAAATATATATTATATGTGTGTATTTATGTGCATGTGTGTATACAGTAGGGGAGTGTGATGTGGAGATGAGGTACAGTCTTCCTACTTTTTGGTCACATCTCCACCATGGCCCTCTGTGCCTTTATCTCTCTCAGTCTCACTCTTTCATATATTCTGTCCAACTTTGTCTTTACCCTGACTTTTTCTCAAATCCCTCCAGGATTAATTTTGGGCACTGCTTTTTTTCCCTAATCTTTTAGAGTCATTTCAGTAATCTTCAACCAACACCTTGCTCTCCAAAGCTGATATATAAAAGAAAAGAACAAGAAATCTTGTCTTTTGCAACAATATGGATGGACCTGGAGGGTGTTTTGCTAAGTGAAATAAGACAGAGAAAGGCAAATACCATATGATTTCACTTATAAAATAAAATACCTAAAAAACAAAACAATGAACAAGCAAAACAAACAAACAAAACAGAGACAGACTCATAAATGCAGAGAACAAACTGGTGGTTTCTAGAAGGGAGGGGAGTGTGGGGATGGATCAAATAGGTGAAGGGATTAAGAAGTACAAACTTCCAGTAATAAAGTAAGTCAAAAGGATGCA